ATGGAGAATGGGTGAAATACCATGGTTTTACATGATGTATTGCATGCAGATGAAGAGCAGAAGAAAATCAAGTAATTCACGGGTAGTCAGATATTTGGATTTAGGCAATAGTGTCAAGTAGCCAGATGGTGCCTTTGGCATTCCTCTGCCTCTCTCAGGAGCATTTCCCCTTGTCCCCTGATCCCACCTACCCGGGTGGTGACATGCCCAAATCCATGCTCATGTAGCACCCTCTCCCCGGGGTCCTGCACTGGGTCCCCAGCAGCCTTCTTCAGCTCCATGCTTCTCATTGCTTTCCTCCAGCAGCACCTACTTGCCTGACTCATTTCCTCAGGGTCCTACTCTGAAGAATTTGATAAATCCATTTTCTGACAATAATTTCCTCAAGCCCAAGTAATTTACATTTTAAAAATTAACTTTGTTAAAGATGTGTCATAAATCGTATGTAAGGGACTTTGGCAAATTAAAATTAGGTCTTTTTCTTCTTCTCAAATCCTGTGTTAACAGTCACACCCAGTCACACAGGCTTGCAGCTAGAACAGCTGACTCAGGTGCAGTAGTCCTGGAACCACATCTGATACTGAGAGAGGCCAGGTGGTCTTGTTATTCACATCAAATGAAATGAGATTTAAATCTCCAGTGTGAAGCAGACAAACTTTATGTCAATGGGTTGCTGGAAACTATAGCTACTACCAGAAAAGAACAAAAGTGCCATTGATGGTCAGTCCCTGGAGTCACCTTTGTGAATGAAAGTCCATAAAATGGTCAGAACTATACACTTACTGTCTGTGACTCTGCATGTATAGAAGAGATATTTCAGGCAATAAATTTTACATGACTACAGAAAGTTTTGGAAATGCATAGTTAATAATTCTAAGAAAATATGGGGACCCTTAAAAAAACAAGACTTTAGAAAAGCATTTTGACATCATAGACAGCAAAGAAAGAAAACTCTGGTCCCCAGAGAAATAGGCACAGAACTTTGAAAGCTGAAATTATTCGCACAGATTTTGTTGGATGTTTGCTGCATTCACCTAATTTCAGTTTCAATTCTTTTAAAACTACCCAAGGTTTTCTTTTTTTAAGGTTGTCTTTTCTTCCTTCCTTCCTTTCTTTTCTTTTTTTTCTTGAAGGAACACACTGAAATGAGGAATGTAAGTCTGTTTTTATTAGCTTCTTCCATGCTTTATAGAGGACCTCCAAATGAACTGATTCTGATTTCTCCTCTGATTTCTCCTTTGCTTCCCTTTTGGACCCTCTCCTTTTCAGAAAGAGACTGGTAAAGTCTTTCTGACCAAAAGTGACACCTACTTTGGGTCAGAAAAGAATGGGACACTGGTTAGCTACCGCCTTCTGTAACCAGCCATTCCCTCTGCTTCCAGTACCCACCCTGCATCCCAGCCCAGCCTCCCACTACCATCTGGCCAAGAGCACAGTTCGCACAGACTGACAGCTTAGTAAGAGGTCACCACAACATATGGATAGGAAATTCTTCTTTGACAGGTGCCGCAAAAGAGCCTGATTGCAAGTGGCGTTCCCAGCAGCGATCTGTGGAAGTAGCTTCAAGCTTTTGCCTACAATTCAGTCACACCAAGGAACTCTCTATTACAATACCCTCACACAACTTACTCAATGATTTATCTTCTCACCTAATCTCCCAACATGTCCCAATGGCTTTTATCTTACTGCCTAGGGTGGAAGACTATTTCTACTCATTGTGTACTACTGTTTCTAAACTTAAAACTTGCCTAAACTCTTAGTATCAAGCAAAAATAGCTCAAGAATTAAAATTGCACTTAAAATGTAATATCTTTGATGCCAGCTAAATTAAGTTTCAAGGTCTTAAGAATGCTTCCTTTTGTCTTTAGTTTTGTATGGTTCAAAGAAACAAATGATTTTTTAAACTCTTTTCCCTAGTTGATGTCACCTTCTGAAATGGCATTGCCTGTGTTCAACCAAACCAATTGGCTGAGAAAAAAACATTTCCAGTGATTTCTAAATATAAACAGAGAGTTGTTTAGGCATCAGGATGATGTGGCACAATCTGTCTAATCTTTCTCTTCAGGTTTCCTAGCATGCAAACAAAACCCCAGAGGGAGAAAAAGGGTCCCTTCTGGCTCACTCCGTAATTCTCGCTTGACCCATATTTTATGTTACTTCAAGAAAAAATCTACTAAGAAGCTCACAAAAAATATTTGAAAAGCTCTTTAGGGGCAACTTCATCACCCTTGATAGAAATGACTGCAGATGTACACACAGGCCCCTCAAAAAACCCTGCTTTACTGATGCATTGAGCTTGTGAAGTGAGAGGGTTTTATTTCTTTGGTTTGTGGGAGCTAAATTATCAGCCTTCAGAAAAGAGGATCACGTAGGTAGAGCAAGTCTAAATTGTATTCTGCCATAATTTCAAGCCATCTCTAATCATTTGTAAGAACCAGAGTGATACATCATAATAAGTAAATGACACTTGTTTTCACTGACATCAGGAGACTTTGACTACGAAGAAGCCAATGTATTTAAAAAGCAAAGGCTTGCCGATGTATTAAAAAGCAACAAGACAAGGGTTATATTGCCAATTTTGAAAGTCTCTAGCTGTGTATTCCTCTATTAGATATGCAAGCCCTTTGACTCGCTGATTGCTCACTCAGAAAACAGGGCTAAGAATATTTGCAATGAATATCACATCTACTAGGTGTGATAAAATGAAAAAATGGGTGATGAACACTTTTACAATGTGAAGAACTATTCAAATGCAGGGTGTTCATTTTAGATGAGATTACATGAACTCCACTGTGAGGTTTGAAATGCAAGACTTTTATCCAACCATGTAAAGTGCAGTTCATGAACAGGAACTTACTGGCTTTATATGTTTACATCTCTTACCAATTTTTTCTTTCTAAGCTTTAAACTAATTATATGTCATTTAACATAAGTTTAGTCCTATAATATGTTTGCTATTAGTTGTTTGGCAAATGAATAGTTGAATTACATTTTTCGTACATTTATAGTAGTAGGGAAATAATATATTTTAGAAAACAGGATTTTATTTTCAGCTATTAGAATAAAATTAAACAAGAAAGCACACTATGTTATTTTGGTTTCCTTTTGATTGTAAATTTCAATGAAGAATGACTTTAAGGTTCAATCACAGCACTTGAAATGTATGAGACTATCTATCAGAGCATTATTCAAAGAAAGGGGATTAAACACATTTTGCTACAGATTTTAAGAACCCTAGCTAGAAAAAGAAATCAGATGAAATATTACATAGTAATACTTAAATTACGATAATTAAATACAGAGTGTGAAATAAGGAAAACCTTTGACTACTTTGACATTTATAATTATGGCATATTTGAAGTAAGAAAATGAATAACATTAAGAAACCAACTGAACTTACTTGAAAGAAAAGGTGAGAGGTGGAATTTTAAGTACTTTTAGAAAGTAAAGCTAACTGAAAAAGGGAAATTGTGGCTTTGGTGGAAATTTATAAACTGGGCTGAGTATATACAGATTCAGAATTACCTTAATGTTTAAGCTAATTGTTTCCTTAATTACCTGGCTAACTCAAGACACATCCCAGTTGTTTGTGCTCTGCATGGCCACATACATGATACATTTCCACTGCTCCTAAATGCTGACTTGCTGGGATAAGATTGTATTAAAATTTTAAATTTTCTGAGAGAAAGAGAAATACAACAGGAAAGGATGAGGCTTGATTTTAATTTTGTGGAAAGTAAAGAAGCATAAAATCAAGTATTTTAGGTTTCGAAGGGACTTAAGAGGGCAAACGCCACTCTCTTGTTTTTTAAAAAACTTTTACTTTATACATGTTTTTGCACTACATTTGACCATAATTTTATCATCACCCTGGTCTGATTCCTGTCACTGGCGGTGTCACTCTCTTGGGGAAAACTCCACAGATGCTGGAGTCAAATTAGGGACAGATATGAACTTGCTTTCCTTTCTGAATACAGCTATGGAATCAAGTTTAGATGTATCTCCTGAGCCAGGGTTCATAGGATTTGTCTTCTTCTCTCCAGGAACCTGAGAAGATGGGGAAGTAGATCAGATGTGGGAGAAAGAAACAGCGGAAGCAGTGCCTAGGGTAGCCAACCCCATTATTTATTTACATGTTTATGTAAGCTCTGATTCTTGTTATTTGGTAATAATTTTCTACCTAGCTTATAATGTCTATGACATGGAACTTTGTTCTATTCCCACATGTTCTATCATAACAGCCCTTACTAGCAACGGAGCCAGTAACTACAAATACTCTATTGCAAGAAATCAAATGAGAAAACAAAAACTGACACACTCATTTTAAGCTGCATCATATAACAATGGCTCAGAACCCAGGAGTTTATGAATGAAATAAAGATACTTTATTTATTACACAGGCACTTGGATATTCACATGCCCAACATATCTGATACACTTAACAACTACGGAAACATGAGTGGAAAATGTCTGTTTGTAGGATCAAGAGAGAACTTTCACCGTGTAAAGGTGAATGAGCACATTAACAATTTTTCCTTTACTTTCCTCTAAGAATTTTCAAAATCCACTGAATTTTTAAAAAGTTACACTTAAAATAATATGCAACAAAACTGAACTACATTCCAAGTGGTATGCTAACTCAAATTGTGAGCAATTTAAACTTTTATCACAATGCAACATATTTATAGTCATGCTTGAACAGATTAGGTTAGTAGCATGCATTCCATTCTGCAATATGAATACTGTTAATCTATTTCCCAACAGAAGTCAAAAGATGCCCAGCGCATAGAAAAATACAAATCACTGTAGTCAGTATCTTATGGGACTGATCTTGGGACTTAACACGGTGATGATGAAGTCCTGAAATGCCATGCCCACAAAAGCACATTAAAAAGTGGATAAACGTATCTTATCAGACAATCTCTAAAAATTAAAAGCAGAGGGCTTTAAATCTGGGGGATGTTCTTGCTGTGTGCTTTGCATAGTGCCTTTCTGCTCACCTCCTTCTGGCTTGACTGGTCCATCAGACATCACCTTGCTGAGGGCTAGCTGGCTGTGGTCTTGGATGCCATTGGCTGGTGGAGGCAGATTATCACACTGAGTTCTTTGAATGGGGAGGACGCCCGCTATGCTGTGTCTGTGCTGATTCCTGGCATGATTAGACTGACTGCTTTCATGTGCCGTGGCGGCCACGTGGGTGAAATGGAACCCCAGGGTATGTGTCCTCGGATGGAGCCAGCTCACATGTTATCATGCAAACAGAAGTGATCTTTTGCTCTAAGTAAGTTGTGTTCTCAAATGCCAAAATGACACCACATGCACAGCACTAAAGGGGGTGAAAACTGGCTGTTTCTTTGGAAGTGATGACTTTGGGAGATGGGGAGAACATTAATCGATCTCCTTTGTCCAGCTAATGCCTCCTAAAGTGACAGGACACCTACATTTGTAAAATCTCTGTAGTTAGTAAGTTTCCATATAATTATATCAATCGAGTAAATTTTCATAAATTAAATGAAAATACAGCAGTTAAGATGGGTGAGTGGCTATGGTTTAATTGAGATCCTGACTTTCAAAGGATCTCTTATGGTTAGAAAAAAAATAACCTATAAATTCTCTGTTATCATATACAAAATGTGATCCAACAGAATGGACCAGATTGTGCTCCTTGAGAGTTTACATGGCCTCAGTGCATATGCTTATATATATATTAAAATTCTGTACTTTTTTGAGAAAATAAGAAACATTATTTTCTTCACAGGTTTTTTTCTTAGAAGACTAGAAGTTTCCCATATGGAAAGCTGCAACATTTCATGCATAATTTATTAATGCTTTTAAGCTTGAAATGACTTTCCCCCTAGGTTCTAGAACTTGGTTGCATTTACTTTTTTCCCTAAAATTGAGTGTTTTCAGATTCTAGAATCTGATTGCTCATCTGCTCTACATGCTTGTTTGTGTGCTTTTTTGGTATAATGCCTGAGAAGTTGGCAGCTGCTTGTGCTTATATTCCTGAATTCTAAAGGATTATTTAATTGCACGCAGAAAGGACACACAACATTGCTTAGCCTGCAAACATCACAGACACAGCCACCAAATACTATGAGCCAGATTGGATGGAGGGTGGAGACAAAGGAGAAACAGCCAGTTTTGTTGCAGTCTGTGTAAACATAAAAAGAAAAATCTCAACAGGAAAGAGCATATTTATGTACTGACATTGTTCTTACACAGACAAAGGGACAGAGAGCAGAGTGAGCAGGATATGCCGGAGACAGAAAGCAAAGGGAAGGACAGCAGAAGAGAAGGGCAACAGATGAACATTAAGCTGCCATGCTGAGGAATTTATTTGCGTCTTTTACTTGGTTGAAGGCGGAGTTGTTGCACGGCGGCTTCAGCAGCGGCTATAGCAGCCCCTGCGTCTTCCAGGTGGGCCTGAGTGACACTGGTTTTGCTTTGACTGCGAGATGGTCCATGGGAGCGCAGGTGGCCTTCAGATGAGGATTTCGAGCTACCTGGACTGCTGTGGGATTTCTCAATGGTGGGAACCTGCATGTCTGGTTACAGAAGGGTAGAAACATGAGTTAAAGTTCCTCCTGTCAAGCGTGGTCTCACATAATTTGAAACTGTCTAAGATTTATGTTAATTCAGTTTCCTTTTTGGCTCATTTAGGCAACCGCTTGCCGCACAGTAATGTGATTAAACATTTGGGAAACAACTTTTGGGAGGAAAGGATGACAATCTTGAAAAGGGAGAGAAGTCTGAGGAGAGGACTACATTCTAACCTCATGTAAATAATATATTCACTTCCAGTTTCACCGAGTAACTCTGCTAATTCTAGTAGGGAGCAGTATGGGATAACAGGCCCATACTGCTGCAATGGAGTTTTAAGTAAAAATGTAGCAAATTCCTGAACAAAGGGGTGTGAGTGGCTAGGACATATTAAAAATGGAGACTGTGGAATCATCATTTGAAAAGATCTTAGAGAATATATATACAGATCACACATTAACTGTGGTCGTCAGAGAGAGAGAAGCCTTTATACTAAATGATCTTCAGGATCAGTCAGGGCAGCATTGGTCTGGCCAAGTGGGATCCATAAATGAGCTACAAAACTCATTCATAATTAATCTACAGCACTTGTTATAGTCCGTGGTTTATCATATCAACTCAGTGGCTTACTGGACACGGCCTCAGTCTTCCATCTCCTGGAACCTTGCACTTATGACCCATTTCTTTCTAATGTCCAAAGAACTACTTTCAATTTGATGTACTTTTGGAGAAGACGAGGGAAGGAAGCAATACTCAGTTCCAATAAAAAATTATATTTAATACTCATAAGTAGTTATATATATCTAGATAAGGTACTATATAGTTATCTCATACAGGCAGTAACTTAGTGTATAATGAAGATTAATGCTGTGTTATAGGATAATTGGTAATGAACCTTCCAAAGGAGAAGTACATTCAAATGGGAATGCTGTGTATATTGTGAAACCCAATGAATGGCCTTGCTATTTAAAAATAATAATGGCAGTTTTGAAAAAAATCATACAATTAGCTTGAGTCCTGCAGTTAGGAAAGTTTAAATGCATTTCAGCACACCAATACTCTTGATGACATGGGGAAAATTTTTTGAAATGGTAAGTACAAAAAAGCAGGATGCAAAATTATGTCTGTTCATCCATTACATATAAAATACATGAATATACCTATAAAAATGGGGATTTAGACAATTAGAAGAAATATGCATACATAGTAATGATGATGATTAGTCAATGAACTATTGTGATTTGTCTATTTTCTGTATGAAATACCCAATGCATTTTATAAAATCATACCATGGATTTTAAGAGCTGAAAAAGACCAAATAGCCCAACCTCCTCCTTTTCTCAGGTTGAAAAGCAGAGTCAGAGAGGGAGGATCACAACGTCCATTTCTCCTCATCCCATATCCATTACTCTTTGTATGATACTACATTAAATAACTTCCAATAGAACCCGACCTTTCCAAATACGTTACACATACAGGCGCTCCTACTCAAGAAGATACGGAGTGAGCAACTAGGCAAAAGCTTTTTGCACTTGAAATATCTCCTACCCTTGGATGGGTCCGGGAAGATCCCGTGGCTTCTGCTTTTGATGACGGATGGCTTTGGAGACCGCTGGCTGCTCTGACTGGGGTGGGGCTTGCCGTGGTCTAGGCTCTCGGTCTGCTCCTTGAGGGGATACCACCGAGGAGTGTTATCGAGGTGGGAGGTGCTAGATAAATCAATCAGTACCTGAAAAAAAGTACAGTAAATCAATGACATTAGTGGATGGAGGTGTAATTTATTCCTTACTTTCTGTGATATGAAAATTATTCAAGGATGTCATATGACCTTTGAGGATAAAGAGGATATCTTCTTCATTTTTCTTCCCCAGGGTATTGGCAATGGCATCTTCTGCATATAAGATGCTTAATAGGCATTCAGTTAGATTGAACTGCATAAATCTTTGACTATAAATTACATTACTCGGAGATGACATAAAAAGATTAGAGTCACAAATCAATCTTCTTATGAAATAAAGCTTTCTTTTGTTAAATGGACATATTCCAGTCCCGAACTTGGGGAGCATTTTTGAAGATTGTTTGGTTTTAGTCACAAGAGGGACAAAATGGAAAAAAAAAGAGGTCATTTGTAATGACTGAATTATTCCACTTTAAAATATACTTTAGTTCATACTTGAAATAGGGATTTGACTCACAGTTTGTGATGAGAAAGCACTGTGTCATGATTCAATTGGCAGCTTTTTTCATTCTTAGTGGTTTATAACTAATGGTACATTTTACAGTTGCTGACCTTTTAGCTTTGATAAGATACAAAAAAAAAAAAAAACAAACCAGCACGATGGATATGATGTACTCTAAGTTCATGGTGAACAGTAAATTATAAGGACTTCAATAAGCCAGTTTTTTTTGAAACAACTGTGCCATCGCAGAGCCTCAGGTGAGGTCACAGTGGCCTAATTTTGATGGGAAAGAGAGGTAGAGTGCAGGACCCAACCATGGCCTCTTGTCACCTAGACCACAGAACTCTTTTCTATTATCTCCCTTGAAAGGATGTCATTATCTTCTCAGGATCATATATTTTCAGGGATGATTTATTTTTTAATACTAATTTATAACCTGCTCTAAGCAAAGATCAATAAATGTAATTCATATATTGGAATATGAAAAATGAAAAAAAGTCACAGCACCTGTCAGATTTCATGATTAGGTTAGAGTCCTTGAGTATTTACAAAAGATTGTTTATTTATTGTTTTCTCCTACTTCTAGTTTTGCTTCATAAAAATTTTTGAGGGATTTTTCATGTACTATTTAAAAGAAATAAGAATGTAAAATGTCCCATTAAGTCATTCATACATGCAGTGAGGAACAGCAATTATATGTATAAACCGAGAATCCATTTTTAAAAATCCAGCTCAATTTACAATAAATTTACCTCTAATCTTTAGCATAATAGTTTGGATTCACAGAATGATTATATATTTATCTACCAAAACTTCATCGTGAAAATTAATTATAAAGTACATTGAGTGGCAAAGTGAAAACCATTTCTCAAGTTGTTATTCACCTATTCAAAGAATCAATCAAGAAATAAATTCTATCCACCAATGAACATTATTCAGAAATGGTTATCTTATAAAGTTAAGAAATATGCATAGCATCAAGCTTTAATTGGTGGTTTACATTGAAAACAATAGGAAAAGAATAATCCGAGGCTCACCTCACCAAGAAAGTCATTTGAAGAAAATCTATCATAATCCCAGACTGTCACCTCCAGTGTTTTCTTCTTGAGCTACAGTTCAAATCAAAATGTCATTAACCTCATTTCTCATCATAATTTTGCCTTACACTCATATTACAGACCTCCTTGGAATCTTTCCATTTATATGAAAATACTTTCAATTTTATCTAAAACCATGTGAGTTTATATTAAACATGATGCAAAATATCAATGATTTTGTAGTCCAACCTCATGAGTGGTTGATCATAAGAGGTCTCAGTATTTTATAATCAAAATAGTAACTTCACTCCTTTCCTGTTATTCTACTCCATTTTAAAAAATAGAAAGCATAATCTACAAATACCCTTTACTACACAGAATTCATAGGTTACATAACTCTTTAGGTTATTTAGATAAAGGTTTTGGATTAGAGTTTTGTGGTTTCAGGAAACTGCCAAATAACATAGTAGCACTGTCTTAATTCTGCAGGTGAATTTAACTTATTCAAGACCCTAGATTACCATTTATATCCAGTGTCTACTTCACAGTCAAATTAGAAATGTTCCAGAGGACACATGACAAACCTCATTTATAATCCTGTACACTAGTCATCTTTATACTTTCACTTGTACAGGTTAGCTCCACAATGCCACATTCTTAAGAGGCCTTAATTTTGAGAAGAGATGAGTTCCTAAAATGTTGCTTGGTGTGATAATACATTTCTAAGGATTAAAACTTTCCTTTGTATTGTTTAAGAAAGTCAAAATACAGCTGCTGTAAGAGAATGAAACTGGATCACTGTCTAACCCCATACACAAAAGTAAACTCCAAATGGATCAAAGACCTGAATGTAAGTCATGAAACCATAAAACTCTAAGAAAAAAACATAGGCAAAACTCTCAGGGACATAAACATGAGTGACTTCTTCATGAACATATCTCCCCAGGCAAGGGAAACAAATG